CGGAGGATAAAGGCAGCTTACTTGTTGGTTTAATCATGTTCAACCCATATTTTTGTCATAGGTTAGAGGAAGCACAATGGAATAGTACTTCGGGCATCTGTCATTCCAGCTCTGAGGTCCTGAGTTTGAATCTCGACGCCAAACACTCCCGTGTGGAATTTGCATGTTCACCCCATGCTGGCATGTTTTTTTCTTTCCAGGAAATCTGCCTTCCCTCCCACATTCCAAAAACATTAGCTTCATAGAAGACTCCAAACAGTCCATCGGTGTGAATGTAAATAAGAATGGTTGCTACATGTACAGTATGTCTCCAGTGTATGTGCCAATTGATTGATTGTGGTGGACTCCTTATCTCGGCCAGATTCAGCTGGAATAGGCTCAGGCTCTCTCTTGACCTTAGTGAGAATAAGCGGCATAGTAAATGGATGGACGCAGTGTGGTTGTCGTTGAGATGACGCCAGCCAACGTTGGGTCAAGTGAGCCATTCTCAGCCGGTGCATTGCTGCGGTCAGCAAGTAACGACATGCACATCCGATATAATTTATTTTCAATGTCAGGCACCCGATATTTTATATTTCATTTTACAACAAGGTTGTGCTAATTTTCAAAGACAATATGGCAAAGTGTTGATTTAAATTCATGCTAAAAATCAGACATGACCCCTTGTGTGTTATACATATGGAATGACGTGGACCTGCACGGTTTTGGTATTTTTTTTTTCACTTTTGAACTTGCAGTGGTTGCTTTCCTCCTCTGTTTAGGACCCTTGGTGTAAATGCATTCTCAATGAGACTCTTGCGTCTATTGGAATACAGTATTTTCCGCATTATAAGATACTTCGGAGTATAAGGCACCCCTTCAATGAATGGCCTATTTTAAAACTGTTTTCATATTCTGTATAAGTCACACGGCATTATAAGGCGCATAGAACAGAAGGTACAATAGTGGCTGGGGTTGTGTTATGCATCCACTAGATGGAGCTATGCTAAAATGAATACAATACAATACAGCTTTATTTATATAGCGCTTTCACAACCGCTGCAGCTGGAACAGAACATGTAAAATACCACGTCCAAGAAATCCAAATATTGATCCGTATATAAGGCACATCGGATTATAAGGCACGCTGTTGGCTTTTGAGAAAATTTAACGCTTTTAGATGCGCAGAGGGTATGGTAGTTGTGTACCATCCGACTGTTGTGTTCCATTATTTGTGTCTTTTCGTTGCACTGAGCCCTCAGCTGCTGCCTTTGTTGACACTCTGTTGACAAACATTGAGACCTTAAACACACACTTCTCAGTGTAATGTGAGTCGGGTCTCTTTTTCTCTTTTTCAGACAATCACCTCTTGTCTGACATTCAGTCCAAAAGATTTGTTGCACTGCTCATCACATATTTTTATGTAGGTGGTGAAAATGCTGAAAATTTCAGCACTATTAAAATAGAAACATGCTGTGGATTTTGACCAGTTTTCCTTCACAATGATGTACACAAGAGCTGTATTTATGAATCAACGGCCGTGGGTTTGATTGTGAGCTCTTTATTTGCATGACATGAGGTGAAATACCCAGATGCTCTTTTCGCAGAGGTGTTGATGAAGTGGCAAAACAGGAGAGATGATTGTGTTGTTCCACAAGCTGATGAATGGATGTGGGTGTTTGTCTTTTGCAGCTCTACGATAAGATCAACACCAAGTCGTCCCCACAGATCAGGAACCCGTCCAGTGACGGCGTGCAGAGAGCCAAAGAGGTAAAATGGCAATCATTTCCATCAACATCTCTTCTCTTTCGTGATTAAAGTGGCTAACCTGCTGCCAATTTTCCTTTTCCACTACACTGTTCCTACTCGGGCCTTACTCATTAATATTGCACTTTGCTCATGGAAAATTCAGGTTTAATTTTGCCCTGAATTAAAAAAAAAAAAAGTTTAATATGACAAATTGGCTTTTTGTCAGACTGAAAAATTCACCATATATATATATATATATATATATATAATTATCTTTTTTATTTATTTTTATTATTTTGTTACTCCGTGAACCAAATCCCTTATGCAAATAAAAGCGCACTGTTTTTCTTTTTATCGTTGGGGTTTCTCGTTCCGAATTATGTGTGTCCACTTTTCTACAGCGTTTTTCTTGTTGCCCTTACCATTGGATACAATTTATCGAAAATTCAGGAGAGCCTCACTCTTGTCAGACTGAAAAATTCACCATATATATATATATATAATTATCTTATTTTATTTATTTTATTTATTTTTATTATTTTGTTACTCCGTGAACCAAATCCCTTATGCAAATAAAAGCGCACTGTTTTTCTTTTTATCGTTGGGGTTTCTCGTTCCGAATTATGTGTGTCCACTTTTCTACAGCGTTTTTCTTGTTGCCCTTACCATTGGATACAATTTATCGAAAATTCAGGAGAGCCTCACTCTTGTCCAAGGTTTCCTGAGGTCATGGAAAACCAACAAGCTGAGCTAGTATGGTGCAGTGGAAAATTGTTACTTAAATGTCTCTTTTCCATGCTTTGGTTTTGTTCATCTTTCTGGCTTTATGCTTACTAATACCTTCTCTCTTCAGCACCTATATAGTGACAATGACCGCATTTGTCCACACTTTCTTCAGTAAAGAAAAAAAAATGCAAGGCTGTTGATGTTGTCCCTTTGATCTCACCTGTTTGTTTTGTAGCTGAAAAGAGGTCTTTGCCATTTTTGTATATGTTTTCATATATTTTAGTCATACATACATAGAGAGAGAGAGAGAGAGAGAGAGAGAGAGAGAGAGAGAGAGAGAGAGAGAGAGAGAGAGAGAGAGAGAGAGAGAGAGAGAGAGAGAGAGAGAGAGAGAGAGAGAGAGAGAGAGAGAGAGAGAGAGAGAGAGAGAGAGAGAGAGAGAGAGAGAGAGAGAGAGAGAGAGGGGGGTGTGTGTGTGTGTGTGTGTAAAATGTATTCATTTATTTACTTTTGCCTTGTGATGAACTTAAGTGACCTCCCAAGTGGTCTTTGTACGGCATTGCCACTGACTTGCGCTCATTGTCTGTGCAGCTGCGGCACAGCCCTTTGGCCTGTTTGCACTGCGCTCTTCTCATAAAGCTCTTTGACTTCCCTCACTAGCCGCTTGATGCGCACGCGTACACCAGCGACACTTGCATTTGCTGCACGCTTACACAGAGTTGCATTATGGTCTACGGGGTCTCACCCGTATAAATCTCAATCGATTGCCGTTTGCTTGGGTTGCTTAACGAGGCTGACTAGAGTAGGGGAAAAAAATTACGTTGTGTGTATGTCGCGTGCAAGAAGGCACGCGAACGTTAGTTGTGTTTCTTGTGTGCTTTATTGAAGGCAGGAACACGTCTAAAGTCTTGAGACGTGAGTGAGGGAAATCTATTCCAGTGAAACCTGGCAAGGTAGCTTTGTGTTCCACACCAAATGATTTCAGGTTCAGTTTTGGTTGCGAAAAGAATAAAATAGAATAGGAGGCTTTTATTTTCATGACAATAGTGTGTAACATGGAAAAGCACAGTCAAACCATGGCCGTCTTAAAAAATTTTAACTGTACAGGCATGCCAAAAATTCACTTTTAACTGTCATTTGCGTGCAAAAATAAACTGTGACTAACATGCAGAGGGCAGAGGGATTACTGCTTCTGTTTGGGGGATGACGTCTTTCACACAAGTCACTTTGCATTGTGTTCAGCAGCCTGGTACAAGAGACACTTGTACCATTACAGTTCAATAATAAGTTCCATTTCTCCGGAGTTATCATCACACGTTTGTCCCCTTTGCCGTCTTGGCAAATATAAAAACCACTTGTGCAGTTCATTGCATGCTCACCGGGTCTGAGATCATGATGAAAGTGCGTGATGTCACGCGTGTTAGGCCGCTGGATTTTTGCAAACGTTGATGAACTTAATTGCGATGCTCAACTTTCGAGGGTCCGTGATATTTTGAAGGCATTTTATGGAAGGCCCTTGTTGTACGTTTTCCTCCATATGATGCTTGAAAGCGCCGAGAGTTGTCTGTAGAAAAAAAGGGTTCACCGAGCAAAGATGCAGCAGACGAGGTCAGCAACTGTCACACTTTTAAAAAAAAAAAAAGAGAGAGAGAGCTGCCCCCCTAATCACAAACAGAATCGGTTTCTTCGAAGAGGGAGTACAAAAATAAACTTGGACACTGAGCTACTTGCTGCTTCACCAAAACATGATGGGATCACAGGTGCCGGCCTGCTCTGGTAAATGTCCGTTTGTTCCCTAACGGGGCTCAAGTTCACTGCAGCTTTGGTTTCCTTCCGCTCCCACTGAATGACGCTGAATGTTTTGAGCCAATCAGGCTGTGCACCTTTCTCTCCTTTCTCACCAATAAGGTGTTTCAAACACTGCACTAATTACAATCAAAGGACCTGGGCGTTGTTATCCAACTAATTGACTAAAATTAGCTGCTTTTGCTCACCACACTAATCCGATATCTCGCGGAAGATGACCTTTTTAAACGCTGTCAGTGCGCCTTGTGTAACCTGGTCTCCCTGTGTCTTCCTCCACTCAAGACCTTCTGCTCACATCAGGAAGACGGTGAAGCTTTGAAACATCTGGAATATGTAAGCGCTCGACCACACGTGCTACCGATGCTTTTAGATCTGTCGGAGGTGGACAATCAAGATGGGTTGTTGCTTGACAAGCGACATGAGCACATGATTGCTTCACAATGGCTTGTATTCAAAAGCCCCCGCAAGGCCCCTCCTCCCCCGCCTCACCTCGTGAATGCCACATTCACCAGTCAGGCGCAACATAACTGGAGCTGACTTCCAACCGAGCGCTGCCAAATAAACAGGCAGGAGGTGGGGGAGATTTGTCGACTTTGGTGTCCAAACTTGGCGGTGGCGATTCCGGGGGGTTTGGGGCGGCATTTTTTTGTGAGGGTCAGCGAGGTTATCCGGATCTTACCCAAGGCGGTTTTTAGTGAGACGACGATGATTGAAAAATTTCTTGTCCTCGTCGTCCTCAGGTGCTGGAAGAGATCTCCTGCTACCCGGAAAACCACGACGCGAAAGAACTCAGACGGATACTGACTCAGCCGCATTTCATGGTGAGTTCAAGAGCGCATGAACTGTTACCTAGTGAACAGAATGTCGTCGTCTCGTTAGTGTTTTGTCTGTTTTGGTAAGAGACAATATCTGGAACACTACGGCGAACTCAAGGAATTCTAATCCAATCTGCTCCAGGTGGTTGTTGATATCATGCTACTTTTCCCACAACGATGAAAATACCACAGGAGGACAGTTGTTGTGATAATTCAAGATATTGGAAGAAAAAAAACAGTTACTGGAACAATACTGTGCCGGATATCATAAGTTGTTGAAGTCATTTGCAGAAGGGGAATTTTATCGAAACGCTCACCATAAAAGTGCCAAAGGAATGGCATCATATTAAGTTTTGGTTCGAAAGATTGTAAAAGTCGATAAATGATAGCACTCTAAATGCAATGGGTGCGCTTGAAATTTCAAATGTCCAATTAATTCTTCAATTAAAATGTACAAAGAATCAAAATAAATACTTCATAAAACATAGATTTTGCATTTAAATCAGTGCTATCCATAATTTGTAAATTACATGCATTTTCGGCAGCAGATTTTGATGTTTGTTCACCGATATCTTTTATCCTGATAATTTTCAAAGCACGTTTATACTTTTTTTTAATTAACAAAGTAACAAGAATCAACTGTGTCCTTTTCCCACATAAGTTTGTAGCCGTTTTGGTTTTTTTTTTTTCGTGAATGAAAGAAGGCAATTGTGAAGTCTTTTTGAAAAACAATACAATAGACATGCGGGAGAGAACACTGTTTGCCTACGTTCTTTACATGTCTAGTTTCAAAGGCCTCCGTGAGATAGAACAGATCTTGAAGCAAGGTTTCAAGCATGTGAGCAGCGTAAATTAATCAGTTTAATGGAAAAGCCACTCAGCTGTCATCAGTGTCCGTCCCCGCCGCTAATCCCATCACCCTAATGTCACTGATTAATGCCTTGCCTGAAGGCGACGCTCCGTAGCAAACTGGCACTCAGCGTTTGAAGTTTTTAAAGTGGCGTTGGGCATATCTCCAGGCAGTATTTTTGATGCTTTTGTTGTTTTTGCCCGTGTTTGTTGCACTCGGATGTTTGTAAATCGGTAACCCCCTGTCATTGAATAGATTGCACTTTCTTGTGTGAGCCTTTTAAAGATGTACAGGTATTTGTGCTTTGATCCCGCTGAAGGCGTTGCTGCAGGCCCACGATGTGGTGGCTCATGAGGTCTACAGCGACGAGGCGCTAAGGGTGACGCCGCCGCCCACTTCGCCTTACCTGAATGGCGACTCGCCCGAAAGCACCAACGGAGACATGGACCTGGAAAACGTCACCAGAGTGCGCCTGGTGCAGTTTCAGAAGAACACGGACGAGCCCATGGTACGTTTCCACTCGACTGACGAAATTCAACTTGTGCTTCACCATTCACTATTCAACTGAGGCACATATTTTACATTAGAAAAATCACAATGACATATACTTGCGTCAATAAAGATGACATTTTAATTTACCCTTCTTATTTTAGGGTGAAATCTGGGCCTGTTGACCTCCGAGGCTAAACTTGAGCTGCTTCGGCGGTCAGCAAAGTCCTTACAAATTAGGCACAACACTCTACTTTTATCAATAGTGCCGTCAGAGCGTTTTTGTAAAGTAAATTTTCTATTCATTGTGCCGAGAACTCTCACATGCGCCTCCATTTTCACCTCTCCTCTCCTCACCGCTGCTTACTTAGCCGCCCAACTCCAATGGGAGCCAATCATCTAAACAAGCCCAAACATAATGACGGCCAATCAATGTCCGCTTCAGGTTGTGACTGACAGTTGTTTCCCCACCCTCAACTACTCGAACGCAGGAAGCCAACACATGAAAAGGGCTATTAGAAAAAGGCAACCCACAGGCAAAAACAATAAAGTTAGAGATTAAAATTTAGATTTACGCAATTAAAAAAACATAATGTGCTAAATAGGTAATTAATTATTCGCAATTAACGCGATAAATTGGCACCTCTAATTTTTACCTAACATCCGCTAGGTTAATGCTAACATTGACCAGTCATGCAAAACACCATAGTGGACCTAATGAGAATTAGCATTGTTATAGAGCCCAGGTGTCAAATTTGTAAATTTACAACTTCAAACAACACACAGGCAGCAACATACAGTTTTTTAGCAGACCGTGTTACTCTACTGAAGGCGCACAATTCTAAATTCAAACTTCCCTGTACAGTATCCTGGAAAATCCCATAAAAAAACAACAGCATAAAATCTTTGATATAGTGGAGGAACTCCATATACGTCATGTTTCAATTCTTTCCTCACCTTTGTGTGTGTTCTTGATGGATGTAGGGCATCACACTGAAAATGAACGACTCCAACAACTGCATTGTGGCTCGGATCATGCACGGAGGAATGATCCACAGACAAGGTAGAACGCAAAATAACATCGCAACAAACCATTGCTGGACACAGGGACTAATGTGAAGATGTCGAAACACTCCCAACTCACGCTCATCTTCTCAGGCACCTTGCACGTCGGAGATGAGATCAGGGAGATCAATGGCATCAGCGTGGCCAACCAGACAGTCGAGCAGCTGCAGAAGATGCTGGTGAGTGTGTGTGCAGGGGTGCTAACGATGCTAATTGCTTAGCACGTGTCATCTATTGAACACGGTTTGTTTTTGCAGAAGGAGATGCGAGGCAGCATCACATTTAAAATAGTGCCAAGCTACCGGACACAGGGCTCCTCCTGTGAGGTAACACCTTCCTCCTCCTCTTCCTCTTGCTCCTCCTCCTCCTCCTCTTCTTCTTCTTCTTCTTCTTCACTCATCTTCTCACTAACTGCTCGCCAGGGCGCTGAGTTTGTGTAGGGTGGATTGCGTGCGTTTCTGTGTGTGTTTTGTTGCCACTGGGTGACATGGATATGCAGCACACCAATTTCACAACCAAGATACCGGAACTTCCTCACTCCATGTCCCATACACCCTCCTGCCCTCCTTCAGTGTGCTCCAGGAATGACAAACGCTTATTTGCCCGTGTGCGCCTGTCCCCCGTCCCCATCATCCACACTCCTTTTTTTTTTTTTTCTTCAACAAAAGTAGCACAAAAAAATCATGAGGGATCATCAATTTGTCGAGCAAAACCAAGGTTACTGATATGGAAGGTTGATTTTAAGTTAAGTTCTTGGAAATACGGAATGGATTATTCTCAGTCAACCCCTGCTGTTTGTGAGGGATAGGTACCGAGCCAGCCCCACGAATAGTGAAAGGCAAGCCACGTGTAATGGACACACAGTGAAAAGTTTTTTTTTTTTTTTTTTTTTTTTAAAAAACCCCCAAAAAGGGGAATAAAAAATTCAATTTTCAAAGGGGGTAGTGAAAGGCAAGCCATGTGAATGGACACACAGTGAAAAGTTTTTGTTTTTTTTGTTTTTACATATACCCCCAAAATGGCGATGAAACATTCAACTTTCGAATGGCGATGTGCATTGAAGCATTGAATCTGAGTGATCAAAATCAGACAAAAGCAACAACTCTGCGAAACTCAGTGCACGTTTTTGCAGTACGCATATTGCTATTGGCGCAATGGCAATAGTTTTTCGATGTATTCTGCACCATATCGAACAAGGTCACTGATGTATCTGACGTCCAAATTTTAGCAGGACAAATAAGCCCATTTGAAAGGGTGGTTATTTAGGTTGTTTTTTTTTCGAAGATGGTGATATAGTGGCAAAAATGTATCATTGCAAAATAACGAACGGCCATTTATCGCATGGGATACGTTCCAGACCCACCCGCAATAGGTGAAAATCCACAAAAGAGAGCCGAGGAAGAAAAAGGTTTGTGTAGGTGGATCCCTTCTGTATACTGTAACCACATTGCAACTTATTAAAACACCCTTTTTTTGTATGAAATTAAACTGCGTATCTTTATTTGGAATATTTCCCCCCCCAAAAATCACATATCAAAAATATTAGAACAAGGAAGAAGATACTCTATGCTGTAACCACATTGCAACTTATTCAAATACACTTTTTTGGTGTGAAATTAAACTGCATATCTTTATTTGGAATATTTCCCCCCCCAAAAAATGACATATCAAAAATATTAGAACAAGGAAGAAGATACTTTAGCGCCCGGTCTCATTCTTTTGGTTTTACAGTCCAAGCAATAAGAGTCCAAGTGCACTTGCTTCATGTTATTTGTCACTCCCAATTAAATGTTACTCTAAAAGTGACACATCAAATAATAGATAATCAAACATTGCATATTTAAACACCCAAAACTTCAACCAACCAAAGTCCACAATCTTAATGCTGGCATGTAACACGAAATGCCATAGGCAGGCTAATGGAATGTGACAGATGGCTTATCGACCTTCTTTGAACTGCTACTTTAACATGCACACAGCAGCAACAAAAAGAGCATAAAACAATACAGGCAGGCATAGATTCTCTCAGCTTTGTGGGAGCAACATCAATTACTCGAGTTTAGTTGGGGACCTTCTATACCTCTTGTCCTTGATCCTAATGATATTGTATCTGTTCCAACTAAGGTTAGTTAGTGCTATGCGGCATGTTGCGGCACACCGTGACTGAAGGCACACTCTAAAATTGGATTTACCTGTACACTGTAATTGAAAAGAAAAAAAATGGTCGCTTAAAAATTATAGATATGTAACATAGTAATGGAAGACGGTGATCACATCAATTTTGACTTCTTTGGTTCCCCCAAGTACATTTTTGCACCCACCCCTGTACTAGAAAGCCGTAACAGGCTCAGGATCACTCCCTTGTCATGACGGTGTGAGTCACGTCAATGCTGTGGTGCGTCTTGGCCACAGCGGCTACCCACTGAATGTGCGAGCGTGTGTGCGCGCGCTTGTGTGTGTGCGTGCGCTCTGTTGACCTGTGTGTCTTATTTCAGAAAGAGTCCCCCACCACGTCCAGGCAATCCCCTGCCAATGGCCATTCCAGCATTAACAGTTCAATCTTGGTAAGGATGCCCGACCCCGAGGGGGGAAAAAAATGCCCTTCCCACTTGTCCACACATTTTTCAACCTTCCGTCAAGATGTATGTGTGTTTTTAATTGTAAGAAGAAAGCCTTAATGGGTCACGAGGCAGATAGCCCACATCAATCCTGTGTTGTTTTCCAAGGCCCTCTCATTGTGTCCGATATCTCAGTTCACAAATTGGTGTGCCTTTTGAACGCCCAATGTGTGCCGTGCAACATAGCTGACAGCACACATCAGCTTGGCTATGCGCTTTGCTTGCAGCAGGTGTTTCTGTTCTTCTGGAGGAGGTTTTCTAATGTTCCTCAACAGGCCGTGACGATGCCTATGCGAAATTTGTATCCGACCTCACTGACCTGCCGTGTGTTCTCTCTGCTCCTCGATGCTTTTTCAACTTCCTCAGGACCTGCCATCCACCATCCAGCCCAAAGGTCGACAGGTGAATATAAACGTTCACTGACTCCCACTTGCTTCTTAAGGGCCTCCCTTCCACCAAGCGGTATGGTTCGGTTTCCGTTTATGAAACTCGGCTGTAATTGCTTTGGGGCAAAGTACAGCGGGAAAACCGCAACACCCCGCACGTCGTCCATCACATCAGTCGGCTCTTGCAATAATAGTGGAGAATATAGTTCCACTGTGTTTCCTTCCCAGCCATGGGAGACCAGTTTCATCCAAGAGCAAGCTGCGGGCAAAGTGCAGCAAACGGGAGACTGCGGTCAAACAGATACTGTGCAGTGTAATAGTATAGTACCTGTTCAGTGGAAATGCAACAAGAACAAGCAGGTCCTGTGCAGTGGAAAGTGGGCATTATTTGTCGACATGGAAGGGTTAGATGAAAGGTTATTGGCGTGGCTTTACGTGAATAACTTGAATCTGACAAAAGTAAGAATGAATGAAAATTAACCAATGAAAATCAGACATTGCTCTTGAATTGCAGTTACACCAAATTATAAAAAAAAAAAAAAGAACAAAATCATGAAACAGGCCTTGACAAAAATGACGGTAAATGGTGGTACCATGAACTTTATATTTTGTTGCACAATCACTGCAATCAAATGATTTGGGTAACTTTCACTACGACGTGCACCTCATAGCAGGTATTTTGGCCAACTCTCATGAGCAACCTGATCCAGTTGTGACTCAGATTTGTAAGGCTGCTTTCTCCAGATGGCATGTTTCAGCTCCTTCCTCAGATATTCAGTAGGAATTACATCAGGGCTTATTGAGTCATGTCAGCTAAGTCCCGCGTTTTTCATCCATCCATCCATTTTCCGATCCGCCTTAACCTCACGAGGGTTGCGGGCTTGCTGGAGCCTATCCCAGCTGTCTTCGGGCAGTAGGCGGGGGAAACCCTGAACTGATCGCTAGCCAATGGAAGGGCACACATAGACAAACAACCATCCGCGCTCACAATCACACCCAGGAACAATTTACAGTATTCCATTAACCTGCCATGCATGTTTTTTGAATGCGGGAGGAAGCCGGAATACCCGGAGAAAACCTACGCAGGAACAGGGAGAACATGCAAACTCCACACAGGAAGGCCGGAGCCAGAGTCAAACCCTGCACCTCTGATCTGCACTGTGAGGCGGATGTGCTAATCATTTGCCCATGCCACCGTCCCGCGTTTTGCTCTTTGCCATTCTTGGGTGTTTTCAGCTTTGTTTTGGGTCATTGTCCTGTTGTAAGATCCATGAGCTGCGACTGAGACCAAGCAAGCTCTTTGTGTGTCTAGCACACTTGCCTCTAGAATACCTTTGATAGTCTTGTCATTGTACAATGCCAAATGCAGCAAAAAAGCCTCAGAACACAACAGAGGCTCCTCCATTTTTCATAGTAGGGACAGTGTTCTTTTCTTGGTACCGTATGCTTCATTTTTGTCTCTGAACACAGAGGTGATGTGCCTTGCCAAAAGGTCCACTTTTGTCTCTAAAGGACCGTTCTCTCTGAAGCTTTGTGGCTTCTCAAAATGCAGTTTGGCAAATTCATTTATTTTCAACAGCGGTGTTCTCCTTGGTCGTCACTCACGAAGTTCACTTTGGCTCGAACAGTGACAGATGGTGCAATCTGACACTGATGTACCTTGACCTTGGGGTTCACCTTTAATTTCTTTGGAGGTTATTCTGGCTTCTTCTGTGAACATTCGTTTTACCTGTCTGTTCAATTTGTCATCAATTCTCCTCCTTCGTACTTGCGGATATGTCCTGGGAGTTTGGCTATGGTCCCGTGGATCTTAAATTTTTTTAATAGCATGTGCAACTGTAGTCAAAGGAACATCAAGCTGCTTGGGGAGGGTATTAGAAGCCCTGATTATTAATGTGCTTGTTAATAATTTTATTCAACTCTCTCATTCGCTTTCTCTGGTACTTGTTGAGTACATGCACACCATACCACGAAACAGCACAGTGACTACACAGTGAACCACGTTTCAAAAGAAATGTCTGATTTTTGTCGGCTAATTTTCATTATTGTTTGTTTGTTTTTTTAATCTCTCTCGTCAGATTCAAGTTATTGCTCTGACCATTGAGGTGTTTTCTTTCACTCACAGGAGGGTATGTAGGGAGGTCGATATGATATTGATCCCGTAGGATATATTTTAGTTGCTGCAGGAATGTGAAGACGATGAAATATAATACGTCAGCATCCAACAGGGCAAGTTACAAGGACACGGTAATGACCAATCTCGACCAATCAGCAACCACTTGTGGGTTCACTAATATCTTTCCGCGATTTTTTTTTTTTTTTAAACCAACTTATTCCAATTAGTTACCACGCAGTGGAACAACCTTAGTAGTTAGCTTATATATTAAGCCTGAGAGTCATGTTCTTTAGCACGCCTTTGGTCGGGTACCAGTTGCAATAGTACTACACAGTTAGCTTGTCCACAGTGTGACAGTCCACAGAGTTAGGTGGCATGTCACATTTGTTTTATGAAATGGGAAGAAAAAGATGAATGCCTTTTTTAAATATGGTCAATCATGTTCACCCTAATAAGGAGAAGTGGAAGAGAAAACGGATGGCTTGGATACAACATGAAAACACGAGCCATTGCCAACGTCATTGCGGTGCAACCGAAGTGAAGTTTACCGCTTGGTGGAAACCCAGATGCCCTCTCCTTCATCCCCCTGCCAAAAGGGAGTGCCCCCCCTCCCCCCTCTGCTGCCGCTGCTGTGATTCAAAACTCATTCGACAATCTAAAGTCAAGTTGTACCCATCTGTGTGACATCCTTGCTACTTTTATGTTGAATCTGTGACACTGAAGATTAATTGGTCATTACAAGGTCATTTTTCACCATCCCTATTCTGGACATCTAGTCTATGGCCTTCTAAAATAACCCACAGCCATTTTGCACTGACATCTACATCAGGTCGAACTCTGTGGTATTAATGGCACAGGCATTGTTAACACCACCCAGACCCAAAATGCCAACCCCAATGAAAAAAGCCCTTTGAGGTGAGCGTGCTTGGCTGCGTTACATCCATGCAACACTTGTTCCTAAAACCAGCAGAGCAACCTTCACTAATCATCATCTCATCATCCTGCCACCATTTTTTTTTTTTTTTTTTTTTTAATAAAACACTCCACTAACTTTTGGCTAAATGCGGAGCTCACTGAGGTACATTAAAAACCTTTATGGCACATTTTCGCCGTTATGTTTTCATGTTCAACAATGATTACTTCAGATAAATAGGTATAAAACAGATTATTAATACTGTCTCAGAATATTATTGTAGCGCTTTATTACATTAAAATGTCATCCTCTTTTTTTATTTTGAATGAATTTTTAAACACACTTCCTGCTTTCTTCACACCAGCAACAACACACGCACACTTGTTGTGTACAAACATTTGTTTCCATATTTGTGATCCTTTCAAATCCATAGATTGTACCCAGACCTCCAATCAAGGACAAAATGTCTGTCAAGGTAAGATATGTGTTCCTTCGAAACCCCCGAACCCACGCCCCTCTTGCCAGTTGACAAAGTGGTTTAGACCAAACAAACAAAGCCTGTGCCGTGACTACCACAGACGCCGAGCCCATCCTAGCTGCTCCTGTCTTCCTCTCCGCCGCTTTCTTTGTTCCCCCAATTCCAGCAGCAGCAAATCCTCGCCTAGTTCATCCTTTTTATCTCACCCAACCGCCGCACTGTGCGCTTGCCTCCCCACTCCGACCCCCCTTCCCCGCAGATCTACGTGCGCGCTCAGTTCGAGTACGACCCCTCCAAGGACGAGCTGATCCCCTGCAAGGAGGCCGGCATTCGCTTCCGCGTGGGCGACATCATCCAGATCATCTCCAAAGACGACCACAATTGGTGGCAAGGCAAGCTGGAGAACACCAAGAACGGCACGGCCGGCCTCATCCCGTCGCCTGAGCTGCAGGAATGGTGAGACTGCGCGTGCTGCTTGCGACACTGCAAAATCACGCAAACTACATTTTACTCCTGAGGTCTCTTTTTTTTTTCCTGCTTTTAGCAAATTTCGGGGTGCAAAATATAAAACTGATCTCAGTATGTAAATAAAACGCTTGGATGGAATAATTACAAGCGTTGGAAACTAAAAAAACAGCATAAAAAATAGAACTTAGAACGCTACGCCCATGGATACAAGGTTAAGAGAAAAGCCAGCACTAATCGTCTCAATTTCTGCTATTCTAACTTTCTGTTTGAACATATTGATTATACTGACCTATTGGGAGCCGCACGCACCTCTCATCCCAGTCTCAGTTGTCTGTATATGTAGCTTGTCAGTCATCAGCTCTTACTGTCGATAATTGGTGGAATTTTGCTGATCTGGAGGATAAACTATGGAGAAAAAAAAAACTTTTGACGTGCTAGAAAAAAAACGGATTGCAATTTTGTTATCACCATGCCAATTTTAATTTCAATAAGCATAAAAATGTACTTGTTTTTCCATTTTATTTCTGAGTGTAATTTTATCATAACCTGCACAGTTTTTGCAGGTTCTTGGAAGTTAAGGGTGATTTGTGGTCATTCTATTTTTGCTGCATTTACTTTTGAGATATTTGTCATTTTTCTTTAACCTGCAGAACTTTGGTGTGGGGATTAAACTGTACTTTTAATTTTATTTATTGATCTTTCACTTTTAACCCACACAGCTTTATGTGATTTGAGGCTTTTTTTTTTTTTTACCCTTTACAAATTTGGAGGGAACACGCTAGTTTTATTTTAATGTGCGCAGCTTATAGAGAATTTGCCGTAGTTTTGTTTTTACAGTGGTTTCATTTTAACCTGCACATCTTTTGTAAGATTTACAGCAGTAGATTCTATCGATGTATTTTAACAAGCAAATATTTTTGAGGCTTCACAGTATATTGGAACCTTGATTCAATGGACTAATAGGCGGGAAGGGTTTGTCACTTAAAGCATATTTTTATTACTTTGAAGAACTTGTTTTTGCGCCCTAAAAACAAGCAATAGAGTACAAAATGTCCTTTTTTTCATGGCCCAAGAATAGTACAGTACAAAACAATTTTAAATAAATATGATAACGCTTGAAACTGTTCAAAAAGTTTGAAAGTTTGTTGATCCAAACCTACCCTGCTGGTCCTTGGGACCTCAGGATCATCGCATTCATGAGTCGCGACCGTAGTGAGTTCCACCTCCACTCTGATTGCGTGCCATAGAGAAGGGCTTGACCAAAAAAAAAAAACCATAGAGAAGGGCTTGACCAAAAAAAAAAAAAAAGTATACTGGACCAAATTCCGCACAGTATCGCATGTTGAAGGGACATATACACGATTGCCTGAGTAAAAAAGTAGATTCTGTCCTCTTGAACTGTGGTTCTACGTTGATGCTAAGCTAATGTACTGTGTATGCTTTTTATTGCAAATGGGAATATCGGCCCCCTACCAACATGGCCGCCACCTCGGCACATCGATGAGCTGGATCAAGTCCGTATTTTATGTCTGTGATAATGGAGTCTTAAAACACGGGAATACATGTTTAGCACCACATCGCAATCAACAACAGCATCAAGTTCTGGAACTAACAAGCTTTTTGACAACTGCTGGAAACTGCACATTGGTTTGACAGTTTTGCACTCATTGTATGATTTTGGTAGTTTTACTGTGACATGGGCAACCTCTGAGGGTGTTAAGATAAGATAAGAAAACCTTTATTAGTCTCGGGAGGGTGTTAAATTAGTTGCATTTTTCTTTTTAGTTTTTTGGGCAGTATTTTCATTTTAATTTGGGCAACTTTGGGGAGCCCTAGGGGGGGTTTCAGTAGTTTTAGTATTCGAAGCACTTGACTTTGAAAAGCAACGTTGTGGGATGTGACCTATGTGTGCGCGGCAGGCGTGTGGCGTGCATGGCCATGGAGAAGACCAAGCAGGAGCAACAGGCCAGCTGCACTTGGTTCGGCAAAAAGAAGAAGCAGTACAAAGACAAATATTTGGCCAAGCACAATGCAGGTTTGGAAAAATCACACACGCATGTGCACACAAGCATGCCATAGAGAAAAATGTACTATTTGTGCGCATGTTGAGTATTTTTTACTACATTTGTTAGTACACGTGCAGGGTATTGGACAGTACATCCACAGCAGGGGTGTCCAACCGTTTTTTTGACCGAAGAGCTACGTTTCAAACAACCGACCCCAATGCGATCGACCCGAAAAAAAACTACCCTTTTGCAAAATACTAAGAACATCCTCAGAATCCTCAAGAAAAACGTGCTTCAGTTCATAATCGACACGTAAAACCACCCCGTGCCATCGCAATGGATTTTACGTAATGCAGCGTCTGACCACACGTCAAAAGGATGACGATGACAAGGCCACGCTCAATCAACAATGCCTTTAGTGCTCACAGGATAGGTCACTGTTGACCACCATTACACCAAAATAACAACAACAGATGGTGCTACGGGCTTGGGCAATGCTGGGCAGGAGTCACAGCAGACAAAGAAGCGTGCTGCAGCCATCACAGCCAAAAGAACACAGTTTATCAGTTATCGGATGTCGAATAAATACATTTTTAAAAATCACCAAAATGCCAAATACCAGCCCCAATAATCAGCCCGGCTGATAAGCGGTCTATCGCTCGTGTTAGTTAACATGCTTACGCTTTGGTGAACAAGACTTGATGATGATGCTAAGTTGATTTTATTGTCTGTATTTAAATGGGTAACATCAAACTCTTGTGTTGTTTGTGACATTTGCATGTTCTGATTGTCTTAAAATGTCCGCCAAAGAGCTTGGATCAACATTGTGCATGCGCGTGCGTTTCCGCATGGGTTGATGTGTGTGTTCCGTGTATGTGTGTGTATTAAACTGCTGTTGTAACCCTCCTGTCCATCTCTCTCGCTTGCTCCTACTGAACGACCTCCGTGCATGTAAGTAACCACGCTGACGCCACTCTCTTCATGCTTTTACTTTGAAAGCTCCCCTGCGGGTTACTTCCTGTATGTCGCTGGCGGCGTTTCACTTCGCTTTCCGTTGTTTTCGTCCAAAACAACAGAAGAGACTGAAGCCGCTCTGTGTGCCTTTTGTGCGTGTGTGTTTGCGTGCCTCGACGGGTTGCTAATCGAAGCAAGTTACTTTCGTATAAAACAGAGGTGGGCAAACTTTTTGCCTCGGGGGCAACATTGACTTTTAAAATTTACAGGTGGGCCGGGTCAGCACAAGATACGGTACATATACAAAACTGCATATGTTGACAGTCCATACCAAACATCAACAGAACAAAAGCATTAAAGTATTAACATACCTTTTTTAATGAGAACAGTGAAACATCTATGGTATATGTCATGTATGAACGTCCAAGTATGTGAACAACATACATATTTGACAACACAAGTACTGTAACAAAATGCAACAAATATATTACCCAAAAATTGTTTATAACACAAAAACTGCAGTATACAGTACCGGTATATAAAAAATACAAAATATAACAAACTGAGGACTATTTGCTACAAAATGAGACGAGTAAGAGAACTGATGGTTTCCCTCCCTGTGCTCTGCAACTTCAAGTAACTGCGCCACCTGGCGTTGAAATGCCTGTCATTACAGGTTTAAATGAAATGAATGCAATCATTCACATCGAACCTTAATTGTGTAACAACCTTTGGCAGGCCGTATTAAAAAAAAAAAACAATGGGCCGGGTCCGTGGTTTGCCCACCTCTGATATAGAATATAAATAGAGGCAGACATCGGCTCGGATACTGCAAGATGTGTTACTCAATCAGCCCCGGACTTGTGAGGTGTTGTATATCATTTGTCGGCTCGTGTCATAGACGCTAAGAACAACGCGGAAATGTTGCATTCAACTAAAATGAGAAGTCAGAAACTTCAAGACTGTATACAATATGTTTCCAATCTCTGTAATTGCAGTAATGATTTTTTTTAACATGTAACAGTCAGGATTTGATTTTTTTTTAAGGTTTTTAATTGAGATCTTTCCAACTTTACAGGTTTCGTGAATGCAGCATGACGTCACGACGTCAACTGTATTTTAAGATAATTCCCAATGTTGACGTTGATGTGAGGCATTTTGTTAGGGAAAACTGTCCCACTCATTTTGTCTTTTTGTCCCTTACACCAGGGGTCCCCAACCTTTTTTGCCCCACGGACCGGTTAAAGTCAGACAATATTTTCAGGGACCGGCATTTAAGGTGTGGCGAATTAATACAACAAAATAATATGGTATGAGCTGCATGAAAACTGTGGTGTTTTCGAAATATAATAATAAACACAAGTAGCGTCTAATCTGGTCGCAACACTCTTATCGCTCTGGTAATGTTTAATGCCTTCAAAATACGATACAACGCAAATTCAAAGTGCATGAAAATGACGACTCACCACAG